TATCACCCACAACAATCCTTGCCTCTCACATAATTCCTGGACCATCATGGCTACAACATCACTCCAACACTACCATTTAGTTGAAAACAAAAGCTTCATTTCCTTTATTATGGAGATATCTGGAATATCAGAAATGCTTCCTGAGAGAAGTAATAGAACTAGCTTAAACATGATACATTTTTGGTAGATCTGTTCTTTAACACAATATATTTTATATTCATCCTTTTATCGATCTGGGGTATGGAGTCCCCAGTTCAAGGCTCTAATACAGGGGTTTTCAACTTTTTAAAAAGAGTGTACTCCTTCTGGTGGTGGCAGCCAGATGTGGAGTGGGGAAGCGGTGGCAGGGGGGCTTGCACACGGCTGCAGTGCAGGGTGTTGGGTGGCAATGGCAGCTGCTGCGTGCGAGCTCTCCCCTGCGTCTGGCTGGCTGAGCGGCAACTGTGCAGCCTGCAGAGGGGAACCATTGCCCTCGACCCCCACAGCCCTGCTCCTGGGAGGTGACAGCGTGGGGTGGTGGGTGGCAGCACTTCATCCCCACCCACTCGAGTGTACCTCCTAGCACCTTTCCAAGTACTCCCAGAGGTATGAATACCCCCAGTTGACAACCCCTGCTCTAATATGTAGGCTATGGAATCACTAGCTCTCTGGCCCAATAAATATTTAATTTTTGTATAAATTAGCACATCTCCAAAAAGAGACATTGAGATTGTCTGTTTTACAGCAAGTACTTAAAAGTGGGACTCTCAGGTCCCAGGTGAGTTACCTAAATCAGTAGTTTTCAATGGGGATGTGCAAAGCTTTGGTAGCCGATTCGATTTGGAGGAGATTCCGTCTGATTTTGGCGGCTGAATCTCCAAATCCAAATTGAATCAGGGGTCCCATTAAAAAGGTCCAAATCAAATCAGAAGCATCTGAATTGATTCGGAAATGATTCAGAAAGATTTGCAGATTCAGAAGGCAGGCTTGCAGGAAACAGAAACTGAGAAGAGGGAGGGAGATGAGGGGGGGAAAGACTGCTCTAATATTGACATCTATAGCTGGCCAATGACTGATCTTTCCCCGAGTTCCCTTCCAATCACAGTGCTCTGGAGGAGGGACATAGAAACAACATATAAAGCCGTGTGTGAACTGATCTGTGCCTTTTGTGCACAGTATCTCTCTCGGACCATCAGCGTCTGAAAGGCTCTGGCTGGCTATCTAGTCTCTTGGTAGCTAGTCTTTCTTCTTCTGTGTTTTCCTTGACAGTGTGTCATCACTGTGCAGGAAAGAACAACATATATTACAGACACACACACATTTTGTAGCACACCAAACATCATGAAGCGTGCTGGAAAGGCAGGTGCCAGGTCTTCTGGCAGAGGAGGGAGAGGGGGCAGAGGGAGAGATGCAAGTTCCCCCTGCCCCAAACATAGACACACCCTCTTTCCTGGCAGGAATGAGTCTTCTGCTGCTAGTGGGAGCAAGGAGGTGGGAGCAGTGTCTGCACCTGCACCACCTCCACTAACAACAGTAATAACCACCAGCACCAGCATGACAGTTTCCACCCCAATTTCAGTTTCCATCCTGAGCCTTCCAGTGCCAGAGGAGGAGCTGGATCTGGAAGCAGAGGAGCTGAGTGCCTCCTCTGCTTCCATATCTGGGGAAGGAGTGGGAATCTGAGTTTGTGCTCCACACCCCTCAAAGTTCCCCTAGAGGCAGGGCTCCTTCTCCAGAAGGCACCTTGGAGGAGATTGTGGGGGGCAGGTGGCTCAGCTCCTCCTGTTGTTGTGCCTCTGCCTGGTGAGGATAAGGATAAGGCAGGATCCCCACCTTTAACCCAGAAGTGGGTGGGTAGGGTAGTGTGGGATCATTTTGAGGTGGCAGATGATCCCAGGTATGCTACCTGCCAGCACTGCCAAAAGCAGATCAACCAGGGCAAGGAGGTGAAACACTTCATCACCATGGCAATGCTCCTGCATCTCAGGAGGCAGCACTCCCTTGCCCTTGTTCCTTCTCAGCCTGGTACCAGTGGGAGCATGCCCAAAAAGAAGACCTCCTCTTGCTCCAAAGCACCCATTCCTGAGAAGCAGAAGCAGGCCACCCTGCACCAGTGGGGGAAAAGGTAGAGACAAAGGGGGGCATGTTCCCCAGGCAAGTGAGATCACCTAGAACATTGGGGAAATGCTTGCTCTGGATGGCCAGCCTTTCTCCTTTGTTGAGCGTCCAGGGTTCATGTGGCTCATGGTGCTTGTGGTCCCAGCCTACCAAGTGCCCACATGCACCACCTTTAGCAGGACAGTGGTGCCTCCTTGTATGAGGCATGCAGGGAGTACTTGAGGGAGCAGTGGGGGTGTCGGCTGCAGCTGTGGTGAGCAATGGGGGCTGCAGCAGTGACAAGTAGCGGGTGTGGTGGCAGCAGGGGCCACAGAGAGTGGAGTGGCATGCAGCAGGAGCTGCGCCTGAGGCTGCAGTGAGGGCCACCGCTGTGGCATGCTGCAATGTGGGAAGTGGTGGGGGCCATGGCAGTGGCCAGTGGCAGCAGCGGAGGGAGCAGTGAGGGCTGTGAGGAGCATCACAGGGAGCGGCAGAGTCCGTGGGGAGCGGTGGGCAAGCATGCAGGAGGGAAAGTAGGGAAATGGCAGCAGGTGGGCACGGAGCCCATGCAGGTGCCCTGGGACTGGCAGGAACCGAGGGTGGAGCAGCAGGAGCATGGAGCCTGGACATGAGGTCTGCCTGGCTGCATCATGTGTGGCTCACATGCAGTCTGCAAGAGCCACATGCAATGGAGCCAGCAGCCCAACCCAGTCTCTCTCTTTCTGTCCCAGCCCATCCACCACACCCACACCACACCACACCACACCCCCCCCACACACACACACACTTCCCAACCACACCGTGCCACATATACTGCCATACCGCCCACACACAACATACAATAGGACTCTTTTTTGAGATCTTATGCAGTGATCTCTAGATACACTTTGTATACACTTTATACACATAAATAAGTACAAAAATATTTTTAAATAAAATTAAAATAAGTTATAGTAGATTTTTTTTTTTTGTATATGAGTTGGGGATTTTTTTCCAGTTTCAAGATTGCAGCACCCTTCCTCCCAAAAGGAGTACTCCCAGGCAAGGGGAGGGACTTCTGGTGGGAATGGTCAGGGGTTGGATGCAGGACTTCCAGTTCCAATATGATGACGGGGCAGGGGGCAACTGTCAAGGGATGAGGCTACCCATGCGGCCCTCAACAGCTCCCCAAAACTTGGTAAGCGGCCCTCCACCCAAAATAATTGCCCGCCCCTACTTTAGCTCCATCCTCTTTGGAACCACCCTCCAGGTAATTGAATGCTGCTATCAAATCCCCGCTCAGTCTTCACTTCTGTAGACTAAATAAGTCCAGTTCTCTCAGTTTCTCCTCATAAGTCATATGCCTTAACCCCCTAACCCTGCTTTTTCATTGCCCACTCATTCCACTGGACCACATCCTTTCTGTAGTGGGGGGTCCATAACTGGATATAGTACTGCAGATGTGACCTTACCAGTGCAGAATAGAGGAAATAATCACAGAATAATCACTTCCCTTGATCTGCTGGTAATACTCCTACTAATCCAGCCCAGTATGCTGTTAGCCTTCTTCACAACAAGGGCACTCTGTTGACTCATATCCAGCTTACTGTCCACTGTAACCCCCAGGTCCTTTTCTGCAGAGCTGCTCAGCCAGTTGGTCTCAAGCCTGTACCGGTGCATGAGATTCTTTCATCCTAAGTGCAGAACTTTGCACTTGTCCTTGTTGAACCTCATGAGATTTCTTTTGGCCTAATCTTCCAATTGTCTAGATCACTCTGAATCCTAGCCCCAACCTCCAGTGTATCTATTAGACACCCCCCGGCTTGGTATCATCTGTGAACTCACTGAGGGTGCATTTCATCCCATCTTTCAGGTTGCTAATGAAGATATTGAACAAAACCAGCCCCAGGACCAACACTGAGGCACTCCACTTGATACCAGCTGCCAACTAGACCTCAAGTCATTAATCACTACCCGTTGAGCCTGATGATCCAGCCAGCTTTCTGTCCACCTTAGAGTCCATTCATCCAACTCATACTTCTGTAGCTTGCTTGCAAGAATGCTGTGGAAGACCATATCAAAAGCCTTGCTAAAGTCAAGATATATCATGTCCACTGCTTTCCCCACATCGATAGAACCAGTTGTCTCATCATAGAAGTTATCGGATCTCCCACATGAGGGATTTTTGTTGTTGCTATTGTTGTTGTTTTTCTTTTTTAACCACAAGTCTTGGGTATAAGCAAAAGTAGGGAATTTAAATTACGGAAAACATCTGGCACAGAAATAGGAATTAGTACATGGAGAATTCTATGGAATAGCATTCATATTTTACTTACGTTAAATATCATGGTGCTCATGTTTGAGCTGGGGAAACTTCATGGTTTTTGTTAGCCTTATAATTCATACATAGAACTTTGAATCATTGGGATAATCAGGTTCAATTCCTGGATTTGCTAGACTTTTCATGTTTCCTTGTGTGAGTCATTTAATCCCTTCTTGCCTCAGCTCTCCATCTGTAAAAATAGGAAATAACCATTCCTTTTTCTGCCTTTTCTGTTCCAATACAAAGTACCCCTGCTCTGAAGAGCTTAAAAAGTATAAGCACACCATTCACTGGCCTTCAAATATCACAGCCCTCTTAGTAAAGGCCATAAATGTGATTATTGCTAGTAATTTATTTTCTCTCTACAAAAACAGGCCCTAAAACTCTGAGGATTTGATATGTTTAGACTACTGCTTCTGTGTAAAAAGTAATACCCAGAAGCATGAGGATAGTTCTCTTTATAATAATAAATAGGTATGAGCTGAGAATAGAAGTGCAAATCAGGTGTACTCTGGTTTTGGATTACAGTGATGTGATCTTTTAGACCACTGACAAACTAGCTTGCCACCCACTGGTTCACATTTGACCTGGTATTCAAATAACTGGACACAACAACCACCCATCAGACAGCCAAAGTCATGAAAGGCCAAGAGGTGGAGTGATGTTGTAGTCGTAATTATGCAAGAGACAAGAGGTTTTTTTCCATCGATATTGTTTATTGGACCAACTGCACAGTTGGAATAAAGTTAGACTAGCTTTTGACTGCAAGACATTCTTTACCAGGTCTTTGCATTTGAAAGCTTGTCTAACTTTATTCCAACCATACAGTTGGTCCAATAAAAGATATCACTCCAAAAAAAAAATCCTTGCCTCTCACAAACAATTCTTGTCATTTAAATTATGAAGGGAAAGCTGACAACCTCTCCCCCCCATCCTCCCCAAAAAAACCCACTAGTGGCAGAGAGAGAGAGAACAATGCTGGGTATGTGAATTGAGGCAATAGTACAGTTGACAGATACTCACTTCTGGGCATTCTAATTAGTGTTGCACTTATAGACATTTTTTTCTATCCTCTCATTCTTCAGGACTTACTGTTGCCCTGTGGGGTCAGGCCAATGCTCAGGATCTCAATATCATGCCATTAATAAGCATCTCTTCACTTATTAAAATAATGTCAAATTAAATATGACTTTGAATGCAGTTTCCTTTTACACATATCTTGTTATACTGATATTCTAAATAGCTTTTAAATCCTTGAGTGAAGGGGAAAAACAAAAACAAAACATTTTGACATTTTATCAGATGGTTCAGAGAAGGGGGAGAAAGAAAAAAAAAGAATAAACAAAATACACATAACCTTTAATAAATATAATTTTGCTAATCAAGTGGAATATAAAACTTTATATGAATTGCTGCCCTTGTTTCCAATATTAGAACAACTTTCCAGTCCAAATGGACAGAAGTGTTCTGGTCTGTGATCCACAGACAAATTCAATTTTTAGAGGTGGTATTTCCAATTATTTTTATCATACCTTTATATTCATATGTATTTAAACTGTGACAACTTAAAACAAACCAAACAAACAACCGCAAAACATATAACAAGACAACACAAACAGACAATACAATTTTTTTTTTTTGTAATTTTTGCCATGGCTTAGATGAGGAAGATGCTGCTGGTGGTAATGAGGCCTCATGGTCTATCGGTCACCTTTGATTACACTGTGGTTTCTGCAAAAGAAAACAAACACACACAAATCTGCCAAGGAAAACTTGCAGTGGCTGGTTGTTCATATTTACAAATGTACAATGCTGAAATGTACAGTGCACAGTGCACACATCACTGCCATTCTTGGGGTGCTTTTCTTCTATACTGAAAATTGGAGCAGTTACCAACAGGAGGGTGGCCATCATAAGTCGAGGACATTTCTGGACTTTTCCTGCCTCAGCATCAGGGTGGGCACTGACCAGCCCATCTGACACACATTTTCCAACAGCTCGAAGCTATTCCTTTCTGCTAGCCAAAAAGGGTGGCCGGCAGGATATAGAAGACTGTTCACCCCTCTGAACACAACCTCTGTGGTTTCCTGCCCCGTGAAGAACTGGAGCATTATTTGTTCAGTATCAGCCTAGCTCAGGTCCCATCTTTTTCCAAAAACATTCAGTGCAGCTCCAGTGTCTAGGAGAGCACTGGTGCACCCTTGATTTCCCACCGTGGCAGGTCTCTTCAATGCAATGTTTGATGCATCTTTAGCAGCTAGCAACACACTTACACTAGGGTTTCCAATATTGTCACCACTGGTAAACCTGAAGCAATGGTTAAAACTTTGTAGACAGGGTGTTAGGGAGTGTAAGGAGGAGTTGAAGGAAGGAACAATGTGATTGCTCAGTAACTCAAAATAATGACATGCTGAATTTCAATGTAAATAAGACAAACTTATTTGTTCAGTATCAGCCTAGCTCAGGTCTCATCTTTTTCCAGAAACATTCAGTGCAGCTCCAGTGTCTAGGAGAGCACTGGTGCACCCTTGATTTCCCACCGTGGCAGGAATTTGTGGTCTCCCTCCGGGATCCCAAGTGCAGGTCCCCAATTTTTCCCATGAGCCTGGGCTCTGCTCATGGGTCCTATCACAGGGGGCCCCCTCAGCACTCCTCTAGAAGTAGAGCTGTGGTTGGAATAGGAACGTACCAACCCCTTTTTACCAAGCTCTGCCATGCACTTAATTAATATATGCAGTGGTCATTTGTCCCATTTCTCCTTGGGTTCCCCATGATCCATGAGGAACTTCCAGAATATCATACACGTACCATCTCCATCTGGTGCTGGCTTCGGCCACACCGGATATGGATAGCAGTTCCCATTCATTCCTGTGTACAAATTTGACTCTCGTGGTCATGGATACTGATCCATATCTCCCCCCATATGCCTATCTGGTTTTGAATATGCACTTTCATTTGAATAAGTAATTATGTGATCTGGTGCATACTCTGGGATTTCCTTGGGTGGGGTGCTGGCTATCCCCCCCCCCCCCCCCCCTCTCTCTCTCTCTCTCTCTCTCTCTCTCTCTCTCTCTCTCTCTCTCTCTCTCTCTCTCTCTCTCTCTCTCTCTCTCTCTGT